TATTCGAATGACAATGAACCAAAAGTGTTAGTAACAATAACATATCAAAACATCCTACTGCAGATTCATGGAGAAAGTAGATAGTTCTTCAGGACTGCTTTGAACTGTGAAAGCTTATAATGGAGCATTCCCTTCCTCATTAGTTTATCAAGATCACTGCATACTCTATTAACAAAAATCCTTCTCCTCACATTCCTTCTCGCTCTAGGCACCACTATCTTCATTGGCCCTCCTCTCGTTCTTGAGCGCCTCATTTGGAAAAAGTCCGAGGGATTGACCTGATACTCTTTAAACAAGATTTTGTGTGCTGTAATAAGGTCAAATACCCTTCTCCTGAAAGCTAAACTATTTAATCCAAAGTTTTTATTGCGCCGATTGCCATCAACTATTTCATCATAGTCAAGCCCTTTGGTTCGGATCCATAGTTTTCTCGTAAAACTATTCTGCACTTTCTCAAGGGTCCGTATAGAGTTGACTTTCGTGGGATTGAATACTACCGTGCCGTACTCAAGTAGAGGTCTAATGTAGACTTTATAAGCTCTGATAAGGAGGGCTGGATCACTACTTGATAAAGCACGGAATAAGTTGTGTACGGCTGCATTGCCCTTCGCAGCAATAGTTTCACAATGTTTATCAAAGCTGAGATCGCTACAGACCAGAAAGCCGAGATCTCGAATCTCATCAACGTACTCCAGAATTTCTCCTTCTGTTTGATACTGATAGTCCAAATCTCCAGGTCCAATGTGAAGAACTTTTGTTTTTTCACGAGAGATTGGCAAGTTCCATGTTTTCGACCATTCAAAAACGATATTTAGAGCTTCTTGCAGCGTAGCCTTATCTGCCATTGATGTGATTGTTTTATAGATTTTGAAATCATCAGCAAAACTACAACAGGACACTCCTGCTCTGGAAACAAGAGCAGGAAGTTCATGAGTATAGATGTTAAAGAGTATTGGAGATAGTACGCCTCCCTGCGGCACGCCACTAGACATCATTCTGAAGCGAGAGAACGTCTTATTAACGTGAACCGAAAATTTGCGATTGGATAAAAAAGCGGAGATCCAGGAAACAAAAATAGGATGGATACCAACTTGTTTGAGTTTGATTGCAAGTTTTGTATGTGAAACCTTGTCAAAAGCTTTCGTGAAATCAAGATAAACAACATGAATACTTTGCCCAGAATCCAATCATTTAGCGCATACAGCATACAAGTAACGGTGGATCTGCCCTCTTGGAAACCATGTTGGGCAGTGGGAATTATATTTTGTTTTTGTAAATAATTAACTATCTGTTTTTTGATTAGTTTTTCAAAAAGTCTCGAAAAAATCGATGTTATGCTCACAGGTCGATAATTGGATAAGCATGTATAGGGTTTCTTCTTTGGTATAGGAGTTACGAAAGAGATCTTCCATCGTTCAGGAATTTCAGATTTCATTAAGCTCAAATTGAATATGTATTGGAGTGGTTTAGAGATTACCTGGGCCGCCGCTTTGATGAAATGCAGCGGAATGCCATCCGGTGTGAGCGACCTAGATGGAGGCCATTTCCGAAGCACCTCAAAGATCTCAAAGTCATTGAAATATCGTATATCTTTCATCCCCGTATAGTCAGGTGGCAAGGAACTTGTATCAATGTGTACTGAATCCTGTTCAAAAACTTTTTCAAAGCCATCAGCAAAACCTTCAGCTTTGTCAAGGTCTGAAGTCATGGTATCCCCCGTGTCGGATATGATCACACCCATTTTTTTCCTTTCTTCAATTCTACCGTTGAGCAAGCGAAAGAATGCGGTTCTATCTCCCTCTTTAACTGTCTTATTTTCTAAGTAGGTATTATATTTCTTAAGTCTTTTTTCAAACCTGGCGTTTACCCTTTTGAAAGCAAGCAAATCCTCTGCTTGGCCAGTAGCTATAAATCTAAACCAGGCCGACTCGCGAGCTCTAAACAGTCTTTCAATGTGGACTGGTAATTTAGGTCCACTTGATGGGACAGCCTTTAGCGGAATGAAAAGAGTGATTGCATGTTGGATTGTAAAAATCAATAGTTCATACATTTCATTGACCGTTGTGACTACTCCAAATGATCCAATCCAATCAATAGACTCGAGATATCTAATGGCAGCCTCAACATATTCGGTTTTATAATCCCTTTTCAAAACAATATCACCAACGGGACCACTTACATAACGTATGTAAAAAGTAAGTAACAAGTGATCACTTGTTCCGATTGGAGGTCCGACCCTGACCTCAGTAACCAGTGACTCATCGTTGGTAAGTACCAAATCGAGAGTGTTTTGCTCATGGGTATGATGTCTAACCTTTTGAACGAGGTTCTGGCTCAGACACATATTCAAAAAGTTCCTTGACATGGAGTTGCCCCCATTAACTTCCCGCGTATTCCAATCAATATCAGGGAGATTGAAATCTCCCAGTAGGATAGTCGAAAAATTCCAGGCCATCAAGTCTGAGAGGGCCTTGATCAACTGATCGAAAATGGGACGTGGGCAGGAGGGCGTTCTATACACCAATATTATTCGACCTTTTCTCGTACTGGTATGAATGTCTACACAAAGTAACTCATAACCATCAATGATCGACTCACTGAATACTAAAAGTGGGCACAGAGCCTTACTTAGCAGTAAGGCTACACCACCGCCCCTTTTAAACTTGCGATCACATCTATATATCTCGTAAAATCTGCACAATTCACCAAAAAGGGCGGCATCGGATATATCATAGCTTGCGTTCAACCAGGTCTCTGTAATCCCGCATATAGATGGCAAGGTATTAGCGAGGAGGAATGTGAGCATAGATAAATTTTTTTGCAATGATCTTATATTTGTCAGAAAACAGAAAAAAGACGAAAAAGAACTATCTTCTCTCCGAGGAATAACTATGCGTTTAAAGAATCAGCAAAATCAGTATGGAAAGAATGATTGATGACATCCGTATGACTATTAGCAGAAGGGGAAACATGAGAAACATGAGAATCAATATTTTCATTTCTGGAAACACTTATTCGCAATCCTTTCTCTAGCTTGAGCTTTTCACGCTCCGCTTTCGATAAGGACGCCCTAATGAATATGCCTTTTTTGTAAGGAAATTTCTTCATCAGATAAGCTCTCTTAAGTGTTAGTCCAACAAAAAAAGTTGAAGGCATTACTCTTTAAGCAATCTATCCCGCGAAAAACTAGGTCTCCCCATGCGGTAAATTGCAATGGGGGCACAATCAATATTCAAAAAATCGAAAATCTGACAAACACAATTCGAATCATGATTAACTCTTACGCTGCTTGGTCCACCACGATATTCCGGAATTCCAGCCAGTACCAACGATCGTCTTCTTTCTTGTTCCTGGCATCCGATTTGATCCACGTCGGTTTGACTCGGAAGATTTGTTCCTATTTGATCCACAGAAGTTGGTTCGGCTTCCGACTGGTTTTGTTGATCTGAGAGATAACCTTAATCTATCGTTTTCGGATTTGAGCGAAGTAATCTCATCAGGTAATTTTTTCACTTCGTCCATCAACTCACGATTGCTTCTGACAATCGACTCCATTTGTTTGCGGCTTTCCAGCAAGTATCCGATTATAGTCCTAGCATATAGCGGGAGATTATCGTCCAGCAATAGCGAATTGGCGGCCTCGTCCAAGTCAGGGGATCGTGGAGGCGTTTCATCAAACTGCAGCCTTCGTTCTCGCTGGCGGTCCACAGAGGGAATTGGGTAAACCGGTGTATCCTTGACCATAATAACAGCAGTGTAGGGCGATTTCCTTCAGTAGTTCGACTAGGAATACAAGACGAATCGATCCTTGAGCGGGGATAAGGAAGAACTAGGGATAAGGAAGCTGCTGAGCCGGGGAAGGTATTGGACGGAAGAGGGATCGACGACCCGACCGCTCAGCGCGCGCGAATGTGTCGAATGATTCGATTTGGTTATTTTGATTATTCGAGTTTTCGAATTTTATTTGAAACCCTGTTTTTTGATTATTCGAGTTTCGAATATTATTCGCAAATGGAAGAACTCCGAATATCGAAATTCGAATACGAATATATTCGAATGTTTTATTCGAATGATCGAATTTCTATTCGATTCGGACCCAAGTATAATAGAGTGCATTGTCGAATATGTCATTCATGTTGCAGTGGATAGTAAGTGAGTCTTGCAGTTAATAGAGCAAGGCTCGAATCTTGCTTAAGTGTTTTGTTTTGCTGTTGTGGTTCGCAATTTTTCGGAACTTCCGCAGCACGTTTACGAAACTTCCAAAGGTGACCCGGCGGAACTTTCTCGAACGTTCTGCGGAAGTTCTGGTTAGTTGTCTGAGTAGTTGAGATTGAGTAATTGGGTATCATAAAACTATGGAGAGGAAATTTGTCTTTCAAAATTACCAACTCTAGCAGTTTTTTTGAAAATTTTCAGATTGGTTATCGTCCTTAGAGTCAAACGCGAATTTGGAATTAGAACATTAACATTATTGATTTGTTCGAATATTATTATAAAGGAGATTCGCATCGTGATGGATTCTATTAGTCTCGTATAGATTCAGAGACTGTTTCTGTTCAAGGGATGAGTGGTGCAATGGTAAGGGGCGTCGTTGTCTCACAATTAGATGGGCAGGGTTCGATTTCCGTAAAAGTGAAACGTACCTTCCGGGTAGGGTAGGTTGTTACCAGATTATATAGGAAGAATCAAAACATTGACTTGTTAATAGGTGAGAACAGGAACTGACTATAGAAAATTTTTCAATCAATATTTTTTGTTGTAGCTATAAGGAAGCCAAATCCTTTGATTTTTTTTGTACTCGTCCCATTGTTATCAGTTGTCAGCGGTTTGCGAAAGATCATCACTTTGCTTTTTTTATTATTATTTTTTTGAATTTATTTCCAAATTGTTTTTGTTCATCAGTGAGATTCCATTCAAGATGCTCATTAACAACAGATTATCACGATTTTGATGCAACATTTATACATATCACACTGAAAGGTTACAGTTAAATCAACAATGCAACAGTTTACATTTGGCGTGTACGGCTTTGGCGCGACCGCGTCGCAACAACAACCACAAATTCTAAGCATTCTGCGTCGCTAACACAGCTATGACTACCCGTATATACACACACAATGACACTTTGAAAAGCTCATTTTCTTTTTTGGACTGAAGTATCATCTGGGGAACAATAACATTGAAATATATAAAAATCAAGGAAGTGATTGCTTGCTAGCTATGAATCACAGAGGGTCTAGTCGTAACTACACTAAAAATGGAGTGGCTCAAACTGCTCGGAAACTCGACGAGTTTGAGTTTGTCCGAGTTTTCCGTAGACAAGGAAGACGCTCCCATTCTTCTTCTACTTCAGTGGCCGTCTTCCCTTTGGTCTCGGGAAGGAAGAAATAGAGGAGGAAGACGGTAAGTACCTAAATCAAAGTAAAATTTTTTAGTTCGCAAAATCGAAATTTTTTAAATAATTTTCAAAACTGGAAAAGTTGGAAAGATCCTTACCATAGGCGGAAAGAACAGTAGAAAGTAGGAAAGAGGCTGTCCAATGAGATTTTTGAGAGGTAAGTAGCTAGCAATGAGAAGAGATCGTCTGAAACATCATACGATAAAAATGTATAAGAAGTAATTAAAAAATCACTCATCACCTTGGTCATATGTTTATATCGCTAGTGAAAAAAAAGTTTACAAAAAGATTAGACAACTTAATATTATTTATAGTTTGTTTCGAAACGTTAAAGACCAAAGCTGGAATGATACGCGGCGCCTAACGTTCGCATTGCGTATTGGCTAAATCGTGATAGGACCATGTCTGCGTCTCCTCCCTCTGTTCGCCTTACTTGGCGAAATGTCAGCGGTTTGCAAAAACGCGCGGAGCGGACGCGGCTATCTGCATAAGGTTTTTAAGCTACGGAAGGTTGAAACAGACTATAAATGAGAATGATTTTTGGATAAATATACAATCAAAATGTGCGTTATTCCGAATGATGGAGCCGTTGCGCTGAAAAGGTACAGTAACTCACAGAGAGAACATGAATATATTAACCCATGTGCATGCGGCTCCTCTAGCATTCTGTCCTATCAGTTCGCCAGTCAAAAACAGAGACACAGGACCGGGTCCGGCAGCGAATACAAAGTTAAATACGCAAATAGTAGCAAGAAGGGGATATCCGAGGGCTGAGATCTGTAAGAATAATCAAAGATTTTGACTGTTTGATTTAGTGCCACCTACCTTTGCGTGTTCAAAACCAAACATGAGGGCAGCTATGAAAATATTAACAATAGCAAGAAGACCATAAGTTGATAATAAGAGAATTCGACGACCGTAACGATCAACAATGAAGGACGACGTTATAATGCCAAGCTGAAAAAAATACCTGTATTTGGAATTTTCTTGAAGTTTCTGGAAAGAATACTTACCACAGACATTATGCATATCACAATATTTCCGATAGATGCTTGTAGAATGCTAAGACCAGTGGAAAGAAGAATTTCAAAGGCGAATGCATTGATTGCTAAAAGTAAATAAGATCTTTATCGTTATTACAGACAAAATTATAAAGTAATTCTGCGAGTCATAAATACTATAAAAATTCTACTTACTTTGGTTTCAAAAACTAAATTAGACATTTACCTGCAATGCCACTCATGGCCATCGAAAGCATGACCACTATACCGACAAGTGTTCCTCGACGAGCAGCTGGATCCTGAAGTGCAAGATTAGATTTTCTTAAACAGAACTTCAAAGACAACAAAAAGGGTAAAGGAGCTCTAAGGAAACAATGAAGAGTAAAGGGTCATCTTGAGTTGTCTACTGTTGTCTCGTAGGTCTCCAAATATGGATCGCAAAATTTCGGAGAAAATGAATAGAAAGAGAATAAAAATTATGGACCGCTTATAAATTTTTACACTTACTCATTCAACTGTAGATCAAAAGTGAGGTATCAAATTTTCCAACCTGAATTAGCCTTATAACAATCATTTTTAAGAAGCTTGGCATTCGTTAATTCCTTTTTTCGAAGTTCAGATCAAAAGTAGCAAAGAAATTGAACCTCAGAAAATAGGAAGAGGCTAACCTCAACACCAATTGTTATTTACTGCCCTACTTCCCCCTCTCGCCCCCCCCCCCTTCCCCCCCCCCCCGGGTTCCTGCTCTATATCCACGCTATCAATAATATACGCATTCAATTGGAATTTTCGTAACCGCCATTTGCTTGATTTTGAGGATTATTTCGCTACAAGAACGATCATAAAAGAATTCTTGCGGAAATCGATATGAACCCAATTAATGAGAAGTTGAACAATTTTCTCTAAGGCTTTGCAGCAGTTATGTCCTAAAACTTCCCTGCATTCCTTTAGAAACTTGCTTTCCTACCTCCACGTCTGAGGATCACTTACCTTCCACAATGATATCAAGCCAAGTTGTTGTCGATCTCCATTCTCCTCGTCCAACTGTTTCACAGTCAAACTCAATTCCTCTCCTCCGATATTGTGATAGAAGCTTAGTGATCGCTGACTGGCCTTTCCAAGACCGCGAGAATGCAAAAATCTGAAACTTCAAATCGGAATACTATTTGACTTTGATGCAAGGAACTCAAAACTTACCCGGGGCTGTCGTGAATGAATGGGATGAGCACCATAACAATTAGCGTGATGACAAACTCAATTGCATAGAGCTTCCACCAATGCTCAACTGTTCCAAGCAACTGTGGCATCGCCGTTATGGCGCCAAACACCAGCGCCAATTGTAGCACCACACCATTCGTGAGCGATGTCACCCCACGGCATTCTTTGGGGCTAGAAATGTTTACAGTGAGGACTTTACTTATCATAAATCAGCAGAAAAACTGCGCTGGTAAACAGAGAAGAATGGGGAGGGTGGGCATTCCAGAGACGGGGATAAATTTTTTTTATATAAAAAATATAAGCCTACTTCAAGCATTATTCGTTCTCAACTGTATCCTCTGCTTCCCACCCCCCATCCCTCTCCCCTCTCCCGCCCTCCTCTACCTTCTTTTTTCACTCGCTTTCTACAATCTATGTTCGCTTTCTACTCTCAACTTATTTGTGAGCAAGTGTTTTGGTGTAAAAAAATCAACACTAAAGGAGAGCTCTACGAAAATCGGTCCACAGGAAATTCGTTTTCCTTTCCACAACAGCAGTCATTCAAATACTCTCAGACCCCACATCGAAAAATTCCGTTTTAATTTTATATGCGCATATAGAAGGTCCCAAATCTGTCAACCGTTTTTTCTTGTTTTTTGTGTCTTCTCGAGTTACCATTGAAAAGTTTACTTTGTAATTGAAATTCAACATACCTGCATTCGGTGATGAACATCGGAGCCGTACCCAATGATATTGCTATTGCCAAACCCAGAAGAAATCGTGCTATAGCGTAAATAGCAGCATTTGTTACCTGGAATTTTCAATTATTTTCATGTTTTTTTCAGTTCTTCTTCGAGAAGCAAAAGTGTATTTCTCGTGACTTTTTCTCTTTTTCTGTCAAATAATTGCTGAAAATTTGTCAAAAAATAGTTGAAACTAAGAATGATGACTTCGCTTTGATTTTCAATTTTCAAGAAATGAAGAATTTTCAAAATGCATAGTTTCTAAACGCGGCTCTTCGCATAGCTATTCAAAAAAATGAATGGAAAAAGTTCTTACAAAGTAGGAGTAAATCGTTAAGCCACAAGATACCAGCTGTAGTGCATGTGAGATCTAAATAATATTACTTATTCATTTGATCAAGTTTTTTCTTTATAAAATCAAAATACCTGTAATGCATTTTTTCGTCCAAATTTTTCTGACAAGCTACGAATTAGGAACGCTCCTGTAGTGCATCCCCAGAAGAAGATTGATATAATAAACGACCACTTCCCCTGTAAAAGCAAATTTTGCATATCTAATCCACTTAATCTTTCAAAAATTCGCACTTCCAATTGCTCTCGATCCAAATACTCGTTCTTGTTCTGATAGTGAGAATCGTTCAAAAATTGCAAGAATGCTTCCTGTGCCGGATTCGTAATCAACAACTGGAAAAGAGCAGCGATAGTACAATTGCTGATAAGAAGAATAAAGCCATTTTTGGTCTTTGCCCTACCTGATATCCAAAATTGAAAGGTCCACCTAGAGCCACAAGAATGGCTGTGAGCTGGAGTTTCAATGGAGGTAATGAGGAGTTTTTCCGTGGGGCCCTAAAACAAATCTTCTCAAATTCAAAAATCAATAGGGGATGAAATCATAAGCAAAGCAGTAAGAAGCCTTTAGTCCAATTCGTATTCTGAGTTTAGTCAATAGACTATCATAATCCGAAAAACAGAAAAAAAACCCAAGCATTTTTTTTCGCTAAACTCGTGCCAAAAAAAAAATGTCTGTGCAGGAGCAAAAACCTGGTTGAACAGCGTTCTGTTACGATTGAAAAAAAGGAAAATCAGAAGCAAAGCACTCACTTGGTTTCATCGATGAGATTCTTGTAGATGGCTTTATCCTCCATCCTGAAATTAAGCCTTTTGGAACTTTCAAAAACCTAACGTTTGATGCAAAGCATAATACGTTTGTCTTAGGTATCACAGCCATTCTATGAAATTGAAATTCACTAATGAAAACTTTCTCAGACAAGGCTACTATATTACGCTTCACCCGCTCGGACAACTGGTATGAGGCATAATGTCTAGAGCTACACGATTTGTTACGGATGTCCGCGCTAGTTTGCTTATAGTTGAATGTATTATATCCAACGTTTGAGGAATGATGTGCTAGATGGTTTGATAAGATAGCCATTTGTTTATGTAAACAAGATAGCTATATGATACCGCTCACAGAACGTGCAAAATTTCTGTGCGAAATTCCCGCAGTGTCGCGGACTTTCGCGAAATACCCGGAATTCCGCGACATTCACGGAGATTTTGCACGTTCTGTGAGCGGTATTGCATGACAGTCGTACACTTCTCAGTCTTGTGGCTAACTCTCTCGTATAAAAGCTGCTCTATATCCGCTCTGGTACATGACACTAACAACCTCAAAGAAGTATTATGGAGTTCTGAAGTGCAGAAATCGCTCAATACAGTAGTCATCATCTTTGGCACTGATTTTTATTATTCTACATAATCTACTTTTATGAACAAAGTAATAAGAAGAAGGAACTTTATAATCAAGGCTCGGCACAGGTGGCTTTCAAAGCTGGATGTCATTTTGGGACAAAAAGTAAAGGAGATGTCGTTTTTGCGGCCGAAAAATACGACTTTTTTAGTCGACGTTTCGTTTTTTGGGGGGTTTATTTACGTTTATGATTTAGGTCAAAGAGACTTCGTAAAATTTTGGGAAAGTCAAGGGGGAATTTGTTTTTGCTTTTTTGGGAAGCCACCTCGTGCCGAGGCTTGTTTATTATAGCAACTTCTGAAGGTGATATACAGGGTGTCCCAAAAGTCTTTAAGCCTAGTATTTTTTCAGCTGCGACTGTACGAAGCAACATTGACACATGAAATTTAGAAGAAATCTTGTGAAGAACCTACAAAATACCAAGGTACACTCAGATTTCGAAAAATTCTCATTTGGCCTTCACGCAAGCGCTTACACTCTTGCGGAACGCATGCACCGTTCAGGCAAGTAGTTGACGTCGAGAATGTCTCCCACCTTCTGAAGCAAGCGTTCCAGACTGCCCAGAATTTAGTGTGGAACAGAGCAAACCTTGCTGCGCATAACTAATCACAGGGAAAAGTCAAAGGCTTTCGAGCCAGCGACTAAAAGCACGTTGATCTGAGAAGCGCGCCTATGAAATTTAACAAAAATGTCAAAACGTAGCAATCAAGTTTTTGAGAACATCAAGAAAACAGCAATTATGGTGCACATGGATTGGCTTTAAAATGATGTTTCAGTAAGCAATGCAGAGGTTACAGCCAGAATTAGTGACTCAAACTGAAGTGGTGTTGGAGTTTTCAGCTTTCTCGGATTTTTGTTCCCAAGAACTTTTTTTTCTTAATGGCACAGCAGTGTTCGTATCTTAATCCTACATTAACGAACAAAGACCACTGATTAGTTTCGCACTGTAAGCGTAAAGTGAAACTAGCTCTACGATATGCAGTTTAAGATTCCGCAAGAACTTCAAAGGCAAAAAAGCCATAGATGTTTGAATAAAGGGTACGTTTACATTGAATCGTCCTCAAAGCCGTAGTACCATTTTCTCCAAGAGCAATATTCTGAGAATGTGCAGCGCAAACGGTATGATTTTCTTGAGGAATACTGAAAACTAGACGATGTATGCATACGCAAAATCTGACCGATAAGCAAGGAATACTAACAAAGTTACTACGTTGCAAAGTTAGGCTTAAAGACTTTTGGGACACCCTGTAAATATGTTTGAGTGCAAACTTCAAGCGTTTTGACGATCGCTATATAAGGTAGCAGTGAATCTGCGAATGGCATAATTTATCTGGAAAAAGAGTTTGAAATGTCTGTGTAGAAAGTCAACAAGCCATGAAAAGTAAACATTCGTAATTTCTTGAACATTTCGAAGAATTCGTTGGCAGAAGACGAACAATTCAACAATCAATAACAATTAATAAACTTCAAACGCTAGTCACTGATACGTATTTCGAATTTCGCGCCTCAAAAGTATACACCACGCCCTCAGCTTGCAGAAATATGGGCATATAGCGTTTGCAAAATTGAAGATATTTCGTGAAAATTTCAGAATAGTACAAGAAGATTTACGAAATTTCCGAGAAGTTGCAGTTGTTTAAGTTTACAGTCGTTTACAATGATAAAAACTGCAAAAAATTTATTTGTGAAGTTACAGGAGTTTTCGAGACAAAACAAATAAAACTTCTTGACGGTCTCCCGGCAGTAATGACGCACATTGAGCAAAGACAGGGCGTCACCACCAAGCAATTGCGTTGTTATCGGCTGAGCAATTTTTGAACTTTGGAATAAACATTACGCAAGCTTGTCATATAAGAAGTGCAAAATAATTTATTTTGTTTTAGTTGTGTTTTGCTGCGATCATATCGTTAGTCTATCTCTCAAGACACCACAATAACATCAACAACTCGAAGTACAACAATCACACAAGCTAGTTCAGTTGTGATGCGGAAGTCGAAAGACTCAAATTCGTCCAACGCCCCGACTCCTTTTTGATGGAAAAAAAACAAGGGTGAGGTATTGGCCAACATGGGTCCATGATGTGACACATCAGACTGCTTGCATTTTAAGCATGTTGTCGCTTTTCGCGTGGTCATGGTTAAACATGGAGGCGAATAGTTTCAAATTTAGCGCCCCATAGTACAAACCAAGCCCCTAGATTTTTTTGCGGTGAAGTGAGAAGATAAGCATGTCGGGGGACAGGACATAGAAGGCCATATAGCGTGCATAATTGCTAAGGAGAAGATCACCTCGCGCCGTATTCGGCAGCAAGTTGTCATTTGTGTCCAATCAACACTCAACCCCAATGAATGAGAAATTTTTGGAAGTAGCCTATATGGGTTATTAAATTTTGCAAGTGACTTACTTATACTTGTGGCTGATTATTAGGTTGTCTCAAAAGTAAATCCCTTTTTGAATGAACACATAGAGCACTATTCGATAGAGCGCAATTCTGACAAACGCTCGGAGCCATCCGGAGGCAATGCAAATCTCTGAGACTTCCGGAAGGCACTCTCAACCATTGGAGCTGCCAGGGAAGTCGGGGCGTGGTGCGGTCTGCTCGCGGTGACGTCACAAAAGGCAGAGGCACGGATTTTCCGGGCGCTGAGAAAAGAGGGCCCGGAAGTTCCACAAATTTGAGGGACCCAAAATTCAAAATTTTTCAACTACCCCAAAAATCTCCTCCTACAAGAATTCTACGAACCTCAACTTGATCGTGTACAGTGGACTCTATTAGTACGCATTAGAGGATTCTTTCCGGGTCTTTAAAGGCAGTGTCCCGGCAGATTTTGCATTTCCATCTTTTTGCATGTTTTGGGCCTTTTCTACCTGTAGACCCCGAATATGAGCTTTAAAATGAATGAAAAGATCTTTTTCGTGGAGTTTACCCAATTTCCAAAAGTCAGCTTGGACAGAATTTCAATGGAAGTTGGGAGGCCCTGGCACGAATACCCTGGTGCCTGTAATTTTTGCTTTGAATAGCATGCAAAATGCGAGAGAGCGGTCGTAGGATCCCGCGCCGAACGGTAAGCGAAGACGTCTGAGCGCGCGCCGATTGGGGTTGCGCGCGCCAGTTCAAGGGCTACGTTCTCGGCCCTAGGGAACATCAACCAGCCGGACTGCGCCCTGGAGGTCGGTGGGATGACCAGGAACCCCACCACAGCAATTTCCCCCAGGGCGCGAATCTGCCGGAACACTGCCTTTAAGAAGTGAAAAGCCCGAAGATGATGTCACTTTTTTCCGGTTTTTCTAATGTTGCACTACGTGTTCCTCAATTGTACAAGCAGAGGAAAATGACAATGTTGTACTTACCAAGGCTTGCTGTATACAATCACGCATGTGGGAGGAGCTGGGGATGGGGTTTGCCATTTTTTGAAGTACCTTTTTCGCTTTCATGCATGTACAAAATCTAAAGAAAGCGCTGAGTGCTACTATGTGTTTACTGTATAAAGACCATGTTGGAGGTCCGCAGTAATTTTCTCGCAAAAAATGCAATTTCCACTTGATAGTTTTTTATTTCGATTTTGAGTACAAACTTTACCTGAATTGCGACTCAGACAGAAGCGATCATTTCGTAGAGCTTGCTTCGCTCAATGGTACCCAAAGTTTGCCAAGAAAACAAAGACAGCTTGATTTGTTTATGAAAGGACTTTACTTTTGAGACAACCTATTAAGATGGTTTTGGAAAGCTAATAGATCTATCCTGTGATAATAATTTTTTGGAAGCCATGCCCAAGAGTTTGGGCTAATAAACCAGCAAAAGTTTTGGAAAGCATCCCAAAAAATTTTCCGGAAGGCGTGGCGCACGCCAGATCCTTTCACTCGAAAATTATTGTGTCGCACCCTCTCACCTTCCCCCCCCCCCCCAAAGAATTCTTGGAACGCCAGACGTGAAGTTGCAGAAATGGTGTATATTCTGGCAATATTTCTTTTCAGTTCGGGATATAAAAAGGAAATGCTTATGAAAAAGCAAAATCACGAAGTATTGAAAGAATGATAGAATTTGTTGGGAAACTGATGTGTTACGAAGACAAACACAAAGTTCAATCCCTTCCAGCCCATACAGCCACATGATAGCGAAGAACCATGCATCAAACCGTAGACAAGCACATCAAGCATTCGGTAATTGCCGCGTTTTTCTCTTCAAAAACAATACACGAAGCTAAAATTATCCTGTTTTGTAGCAAGAATTCGATTAAAGAACACGATTGAGACAATTTCCGTCAACAACATGATTGATTCGTGGTTAGTGGGCGAGAAATACGCGCAAAAATGGATAAAAAGGAAATTTTGAAGGAGAGAGAGAGAAGGAATATGAATGGCTTAGGAGGAAACATACAGAGATTGTTTTGCTGAT